GCCTACCACAAGATATTATGAAATGGGAGTGGGTGGTACGCCTACCACAAGATATTATGAAATGGGAGCGGGTGGTACGCCTACCACGAGATATTATGAAATGGGAGCGGGTGGTACGCCTACCACAAGATATGATAAAATGAGAGCGGGTGGTACCCCTATCACAAGATATGAGAAATAGGATCGGGTTGCACGCCTGCAACAAGATGGAAACTGAAAGTGAAAGCTGTCTTTACTTCTCTTTATCTGTGTTAGAAGTTATATTGTTCGCTTCCTTGTTATTTCTTGTTGTTTTGTTTTGTTAGCTACCCCCGAAGCATGTTCCCCTTCCCCAGCTTTAAATTGCTTATTACTTGTTACTTTTCCGCCATATGTTATATAACTGCACAGGTTTATCTGGAGTCTGGTCCTAGCCTCGTCACTACGTCACCGGGGTTAGACCAGGCACTTACCAACACATGGGGTCGGTTGTGCTAATACTACACTCTGCACTGTGTGCAGATCCCGAAGCAACTTTCGGACAGTAGTTGGAGGGCTTCCTTCAATCCACTCGGAGACCCAAGGTAGACCTGTAGGCATCCGCAGGCCCTGGAGTCTCCATCTATCTCTATTTCCTATTTCATTTCCTTTGTTCAGAAACAGTGTATTGCATTTCTTCAGACCTTGTATGTAGAAACTATTATACAGTCTGGACACTGTGACACTAGATTTTGGGGTATTTGAGGGTTTAAAAGTTGTAATAGACGTAGCCTTCAGATATTTCATGGTTATCTTCCGCTTAATTATTTAAAGTTCTGCTGTTTTTATGTTGTTGCTCGTAATTGTTAAAAAGAAGTAATTTGGTAAGGAATTAGATAGTTAAGGGTTGGCTTGCCTAGATCTCATTAGTAGGCGCCATCACGACTCCCTGGGGTGGGAAATTCGGGTCGTGACAAGTTGGTATAAGAGCTCTAGGTTACATGGGTCTCACAGTTCACAGACAAACTTAGTAGAGTTTGAGGGATCGGTATGGAGACGTTTGTATTTATCCCCCAGGGGCTACAGAGTCAGGAAAAATTCACATTTGCTCTCTCTTGTCGTACGGTTCTGCTTCCCAACATTGATTGAATCTCTACTCTGTTCTTTCGCAGATGGCGAGAACACGCGCTTCCTTATCTACCACTCAGCAGCTCGAGCCCCCAGCAGCAGCTCCCATGAGGGGCAGAGGGCGAGGCTGAGGCCGTGTTAGAGGGCGAGGCCGAGGCCGTGTTAGAGGCCGAGGTAGGGGCAGATCTTAGCCCCGAGCAGCAGCCCTAGTGACGGAGCCTCAAGTTGATTTTGATGAGGAGGTTCCGGCTCCAGCAGTTCCAGTGGGCCCAGCTCAGGTCCCAGAGGGGTTTATTGCTACCCCAGTTCTTCAGGATGCTTTGGTCCGATTAGTGCCCTCATGGAGAGTGTCACCCGGGCAAACTTGCTTCCTGTAGGACCAGCCATCTCTCAGGCTGGAGGAGGGGCTCAAACTCCTGCTACACA